TTTGTAGCTTATCTCCAGTTTCCTTTTTTTCTAAGAATTTAACTATTTTTTAGTAGCTATATAAGGGAGCTTATTACCTAACTAGTGAGAAAGGGGTTGTACTGCCAACCCGAAGGCATTTTGTTCAAATCCACCAGCCTGCTTCTAGGAAGAAAATGGGGCAATTTCCTCAGCTCTGAGATACAGCCTCTGAAAACCCTGTAGAGAATTAGCCATGCATTGTTTCTGACTCAGTGGCACTTAGAACAACATAAACAATAAGCAATTGGCTAGGATTTTTTTAAAGACCAGAATTGCTTATTCTGCTAAACTTTCTCTATTATTTTCTGATTCAGCTGTTAACAGAAAAATGGAATTCTTCTGGTTCTGTGATTCATATGCAAAGTACTCACCTCTGGCTCATTGATGGGTCTTCTTGTTTTTCAACCTAATGACAGAGGTGGAGTCTCTCCCCAGAAAAAAATTACCACAAAATAATCTTTTAAGTAAGTTTTAATTTATCTTGCTGTAGAACCTCAACCACTTGTTTCTTGTTATTGAGAATGTTTATGAGGATCTGATGTATGTCCAGCCATATGTGATTTTAGTAGTCCAAAAGGCTTATCATCACTCTTGTTTTACTATAATATGTTCTTGAAAAAACCACCCTAGTAACTGTTATGGAGTTTATGCTTTTTGTTATTTATAAATTGAATTTTTTAATACTTTTTCAAATAGTAAAGTAAGTTTATTTTTATATTTACCATTGCACTGTTTCTCTTTTCTGAAAAAAAAAAAAAAATTGAAAACAACTGGTATGTATTTTTCTATAATGGCTCAAATACTAAAACAGAAACTATACTCAAATAAGGCTTGATGTGATTGTTATGTGTCATCCAGTCAAATACAACATACAGTGACCCTGTGGGCAACAGATCTGAGCCGTGCGCCATGCTTACCATCTCTGAATTGATGGAGCCCATTGTTAGAATCACAGCGTTGACTGATCTTGTTGAGAGCCTTTCTTTCTCTGACCCACTACCTTTCCCAGTAGAGCATTTTCTCCCAAGGACTGGCCCCTTCTGACAACATGCCCAAAGTGTGTGAGACCAAGTTTCACCATCCTTGCCTCAGGGAGCAGTGTGATTGCACCACCTCCAGGACAGATTTGCTAGTTCTTTTGGCAGTCCATGGGATATTCAGTACTCTTTTCTCCAGCACCTCAATCAAAAGGCATCAGTTCTTTGGTATGCCTTATTCACTGTCTGACTTTCCAATGCATTGTAAACAATTGAAAATTCCATAGGTTGGATCAGGCACATTTCAGTCTTTAAACGACATGCATGTTCTTTAGCAGTTTGGGGAGGTCCTTGAAAGTAAATTTTTCCCAGTACAGCACATTTTTTTTTTTACTTCTTGACTACTGCACATTGGGTGTTGTTTGTGGATCCAAGTAAAATTAAATCCTTGACAGCTTCAGTCTTTTCTTCATCTGCTGTGATGTAAGGAGGTTTGTTTCCTTTCTTAATGTTGTTGATATCTAATCCATATTGAAGGCTTTAGTCTTTTGCAGCAGGTGTTTCAAGTCCCCTTCACTTTCTGCATGCAAGGTTCCATCTGCATAATGCAGATTGCTGTCGAGTCTTCTCCATTCTTGATGCCACATTTTTCTTCATACAGTCCAGCTTCTTGAATGATTCACTCAGTTTACAGATTGAATAGGTCTAGAGAAAGGAAACCCTGACACACACCTTTCCTGCTTTCAAACCATGCAGTGTTCCATTGCTCTATGCAAACGGCTGCTTCTTGTTTTGTTTATAGGTTTATCATGAGCACAACTAATTGTTCCGGGATTCTCATTCTTCTCAGTGTTATAACTTGTTATGATCCACACATTTCAAATACCTTTACATAGTCAGTAAAACATAACTAAACACCTTTCTTGTATTCTCTTTCAACCAAGATGCATTTGACATCAGCAGTTATATCCATGGCCTCTTCTAAATCCAGCTTGAATTTCTGATACTTTTCTGTGAATGAACTGTTTGAACCATTTTTTAATACACTTCAATAAGATTTAAGTTGTCTCTGATATTATGTATACTATTCAGTAATTAGAAAGCTGCACAGTGACGAGGGATGATAGAAGGAGAATTGATGCCTTTGAGGTGCGGTGCTGGAGAAGAGAATTGAATATACCATGAACTGCTAGGAAAATAAACAGGTTCATCCTAGAGAGGGTGAAATCAGCTGCTCCTCAGAGTCAAGAATTCTGAAGCTTTAACTGACATACTTTGAACATGTTGCACAAAGGGACCAGTCCTTACAGAGGGACATCATGCTTGCCAGGATGGAGGGACAACGCAGGAGTCGAAGACACTAGATAGAGATGGATTGACTCAGTGACTGGGATAATGGGGGCAGGTGTGTTGGAGACAGTAAGATTGGCTCAAGATAGAGCAGGGCTCAGAACTGTTGTACATAGGGTCACTATGAATTGCAAGCAACTCAATGCCATATAAAAACAACAAAAACTGTTAGATTGCCATTTTTTAAAAAATCAGAAACAAAGATTCCCCATAGAAGAAGCTGAATAATATACCGTGAATTCACTAATGCCCTACAGTATTAAGGACTATAGCACAGATGGGCTTTGGGGTGGTAGTGGTTGTTAGCTGCTATAGAGTCAATTCCAGCTCATAACAAAACTCGGTTCCACACGGTGAAACCCTGCCTAATCCTGCACCATCCTCACAGTCTCTGCTTTGCCCAATAAGCCCATTTCACAGCTATTGTATCAGACCAACCCACTGAGGGTCTTCCTCTATTTTACTGGCGCTCTGCTAAGCATGATATCCTTCTCTGGAGACTGGTCCTTCCTGAAACATGTCAAAAGAATATGACAGTCTTACCATCTTCACTTCTGAGGAACATTCTGGTTGTACTTTTAATTGAAAAATTCACATTCATTTTAGGAAATGTTTTACTTTTGTTGTTGTTGTTGTTTGCTTGTTTCTAATGATTGAGAATATAAAGAAATATTGGTAGAGGAAGGGTCATCTCTAGTCCTAACAAAAACTATCACTGTAATTTGTAGGTATATTTCTAGTCTCTTTTTTTTTAATGTATTCTCTTCTTACACAAGTGAGATTGTACAATTTGGTTACTCCCGTTACATCCTCAGATCCACTCTGAACTCGTGGTGTCTCCTTCCCTAAACTGTCTTGTCTTGTGCTACCTGGATCCCATAGTGGCATCATCTGTTCGCTCACCAAATCTGAAGCGTGGCGTTGCTCTTCCTTCCCTTTCCTCCATTCAAATCCTAAATCGTGACATCTCTGTTTATAAATATCTTTGACATGTCCTGCTCTATTTTGTGTGACCACTGCTCCCTACTGAAGAATAGTCTGATTTGTCCCTTGAACTCCAGTAGTGGAGTCTGTTTCTATCATTTTCCCCCTCAACTTCTTGATAAGCATATTTAAAATGTTTATTTGACCTTGTAATTCTCTAGGTTGTTAGTACTTGAGGCCCTTCAATACCCTCAGGTTAAATTTCAGACTCGTGAACATGACCTATGCATTTCCCCTGTGGCCAGAACCTTCCTTCTCTCTTCACATTCGTTTCTTGGCACTTCTGTCCCCTGCTTTATATTCAGCATCTCTGAGCTCATTCTGCGCCTCCTAAAGCTCCTCCCCTCCATGGTGGGATGGTTTCTAATCTCTGCCCATGCAGTCTGCCCTACTTGGAATGCTTTTCCTCTCCCTGCTTTGCACCTCGTCAGTGCCTGCTCATCTTGTAAGACACACGTCACGTCTCTTCAAATATTGACTCTAACTCCCGGACTCCTCTATTCCTCAAATTGGGTCTTTGTGTGCAAATCTCTGTTATTACATTTTCCTCCGTTCATTTATTCATTCTGCCAACAAACCAGCAGTATTTATGTCAGGCAGAATTTTAATCATAGGAGATGATACAGCAGATGATAAAGTACCTTCCTGAATGGAGTTTATGTTCTAGTGAAGAAAGATAGGTACTAAGCAAGTGAAAATGTGTGCCAGTAGGTGGTAAGTGCCGTGGTGAAAAAGAAAGCATTAAAGTAAGGAGTTGTGGGGCATTCTGAGGGTCCTTGTTAAAGAACATGGTCGAGGAAGGCCTGACTGCGAAGGTGGCCTTTGAGCAGAGACGGAAGTGATGGAAGTGAGAGAGCTGTGCTGATAGGTGAGTACCCTGAGACCAAGCGTATTCCAGAAACAGCAAGGGAGGAAGTATGCTCAGAGCAGTGGGGCTAAGAGAGAGACCAGGACAAGGTGGATCAAAGAGCTAATCATGAGCCAGGTCATGAAAGCTTTGCAGACCCTTATTAGGACACTGACTCTTACTGTGAATTGGAGGTTTTTGTATAAAGATGTGACAGAATCACTCTCACTAGAATCATTGTGACAATTAGATGGGTACGTGCATATAGGGCATTATATTTAGTCCTGTTTATATAGTGAGGATGGCACAGGATAAGGCAGGACTCAGATCTATTCCTAGGGTAGCTGTGAGTCAGAGTTAACTACACAGCACTTACCAACAACAATAACAGTACATAGTGAAGGACATCATCATTATTATAAACTGTACCAAGCAAATCTACTGCCATCAAGTCCATTCCAACTTACGGTTGCCCGAAAGCTGCCTCATAGGATTTCCAAGGCTGTAAATCTTTATGGAAGCCGACTGCACTGTTTTTCTCTCATGGGGTCACACTGCCCTCTGTGGTTAGGGGCTGACCACTTGAGCGCAGAACTACCACGCTCCTCACATTTATAATTCTTCATTTTGTATACCTGGTACAGTATCCCATCCCATTAAGCAGCATTTGGTGAATGAATAAATCCTTTTTGTTCCTTTGTTTAGAATTATTTCCATGGTGCTTCCCCATGTGCCCATATGGAGTAACATGGTGTCTTTCTGATTTCTCCAGGTTGATTCTCACAAAGTGAACTCTGAGAGAAGTCCTGAGGTGCAGAGTTGATGTGATGGAGCTTCCCAACTACAGCCGGCAGCTGCTGCAGCAGCTGTACACGCTGTGTAAGGAGCAGCAGTTCTGTGATTGCACCATCTCCATCGGCTCCATTTACTTCAGGGCACACAAGCTGGTCCTGGCTGCTGCCAGCCTCCTCTTCAAAACGCTGCTGGACAGCACAGACACCATCTCCATCGATGCCTCTGTGGTGAGCCCTGAGGAGTTTGCCCTCTTGCTAGAAATGATGTACACTGGCAGACTCCCTGTGGGCAAGCACAACTTCTCCAAAATCATCTCTTTAGCTGACAGCCTTCAGATGTTTGATGTAGCTGTCAGCTGTAAAAATCTTCTCACCAACCTTGTGAACTGCTCCGTGCAGGGTCAGACTATGAGAGATGTTGCTGTGCCAGCACCAGAGTCAGTCAAGAAGGAAGCTGAGAAACTGCAAGTAGAAATCGTTTCCTCTGAGAGTTCTGGAGAGCCTTGTGTTTCCCATGAGGGTCCTGCCCTTCCAGGAGGCTTTGGGAAAGCAGACCCACAGGAGGCCACCCAGATGGTCACACAAGATTCTTCCACCACCCAGGAGATGCAAAGGAGCGCAGGAACGTCAGTGGAGACTCCCAGTGCAGTGGAAGTTTGTCCTTCTTCCCCTGCTATACAGACCTTTAGTGAGACCACAGAGGCAGGCACAGAACCAGGTAACATCCACTCAGTAGTAGTTTTATGATCTCCTTTTCATTTGTTAGTGAGTCGATTCAGGGATCTTTGTTAATTTTTTCTGTTTCATTAATCATTTTACCAAAGACTACTTGTTAGCAAAGAGGCTAAAATCCAGCGGCATACTCTGGTTGAGCCCAGCTGCTATTAAAAGTGCCTGTGTTTTGAGTACTGGAAATCTGAAGGTGGACCGCAGAAAAGAAAAGCAGTGTTGAGATAGTGGTAGCAGTAATCACCGTTTCTAGTAATTACACGTTATTTTAACCAGGCTCAGTCTAAGAAGTTGTGAAAGACATTGTTGTCTGTGACTTGCTGCGTTATCTGTTAAATGCAGTATATGACTTCAAGATTTTCCACAGACAGCTTGAACTTTTTATTTAATCACTTCAAGTAATAAATGACTGATGTGTTGTTTTTTTCTTTTCCCCTTTTAATGTTCAGAACATGAGAGAAAACAATACCAGCTGGATTTTCTTCTGGAAAATGAAAGTACCTTCTCAGATGCACTCTCCGTTACCCAGGATGTTTTCAAAAGACTAGAGAATTGTTCAAAAATTAAAGGCCCACAGAAGGAGGTAGATATTGTTTCTGTTTTGTTTGCTACTTGACTGTTCTCAGGATAAAACAGCAACTTTCCATATGGGGCAGAAATCTGAAAATGTAAAATCCCTAAGGGGTTTCCATTTTTTCCACACTTCTTTTGGTATTTATTCTCTAAAGGCCAGTCTTGCAAAAATTCTGGGTAAGAAAGATACTTTCAGCATCAACTTGGGTTTTGATCCCAGGCAAATTCCAGCTTACCAGCAGTTTGAACCAAGATACTTAGCGGTACATACCACTCCTGATTACTGGAGGATAATATTAGGCATAAGATAGTTGTAATAACTGTTAGAGACTTAAGCAATAAAACAAAAACAAAACTACAGAGGCATCTTAGTTATTTAAGGCTGCTTTAGTAGATTCCGTAAATTAATGACTTTGACAGAAATTTATCCTCTCACAGTTTAGTAAAAATTCTGGTTGCTAATGCTTTATTGGTGGCTCCTTGGAGGCAAGGATTCTGAGGCTCCGTCTAACATACTTTGGACATGTTGCCAGGAGGGACGGGTCCTTGGAGAGGGACATCATGCTTGGGAGGGTGGAGGGACAGCACAGGAGGGGAAGGCCCTCTATGAGGTGGATTGATTCAGTGACTGGGATAATCGGGATGGGAGTGTCAGAAACAGTGCGGTTGGCACAGGACAGAGCAGAGTTTAGGGCGGTTGTACATAGGGTCGCTATGAGTCACAAGCGACTCGATGGCACATAACAACAACAACAACAACAATGCCTTATTCGTTGTGGAGGAAAGTCTTCCTTTCCTTCAGTATCTTTGTGTTTTGGTCTTCCAGTGTCAAGGAATTTTTTTGATCTGGGTCCCAGGTTGAAAACTATGCAGATTACTTCTGGTGACTATTTCTTGGTAGTACTAAGATCCCCAAGAGAATTCTAGTGGCTTATTGTTGTTAGGTACCATCAAGTCAAGTACAACTCATAGCAACCCAGATGAACAACACATCCATCCTATCCTGTGCGGTCTTCACTCTTTGTGACACAGTAGAGCCCATTGTGGTAGTTGCAAGCCAATCCACCTGATCAAGAGTCCTCCTCTCCTTCACTGTCCCTCCATCCTTCCCAGCATAATGTCCCTTTACAAGGAATAGCCCCTCGTAGCAACATGCCCAAATTATGTGAGGTGAAGTCTCATCATCCTTGCCTCCAAAGAGCACTCTGGCTCCGCCATATCCAATATCATCTTAGGCATAGGTTTGAGGCATTGAATACCAATGACCAAAGATAATTATCAGTATATCGCTTATGAAGAGAGCAAAAAAGTCATTACAAAGACAGAGGAGAAAGGAAATCCAAATGGATATCAGAAGAGACTGAAAATTGAGAAGACAAAACAAATGGAAAACATTCTGAAGTAAAAGAGCTGAGCAGAAGATTTCAAAGAGCTGAATAGATTTCAAAGGGCAGCTCGAGAGGACAAAGCAAAGTATTATAATGGAATGTACAGAGAGCGAGAATTGGAGTCTAAAAAAGGAAGAACTCACTTTGCATTTCTCAAAGCAGAGAGAACTGAAAAACAAGTTTAAAGCTCAAGTTGCAATACTGAAAGATGCTATGGGCAATATATTGAATGACCCAGAAAGTATCAAAGAAGATGAAGGGAATACACAGCATCACTGTACTCATGGTTTAGTGGTAAGGAATTATACTGCCAACCCAAAAGTATGTAGTTCAAGTCCACCAGCTACTCCTCCAGAGAAAGATGGGCTGTCTCCTTCTATGTGATTTACTGCCTTGGAAACTGAGGGTCAGCCATGAATCAAAGACATAAATGCTAATCTCAAAGGTATTCAGCAGCTGAGGCTTTTGTCTTTTCCTGCTTCTTTTTATCTCTAGTGACAAAAGATAACACAGGCCACCCCCTAGCGAAACTTCTCTCACACCCAAGTAAGGATTCATGGGTTGAGTGTCACATTTCACCCTTGATCCTTTTACAGCTGTTTATTTGGTTTATCTGACCTTGGGGAGATCCTTACATAGCTTTCATATTATATGGTTGTATTTTTTTAGGGTATATAATTTGATACATGACAAATTGAGAACCTCAAAACTTGTGTAAGAAGGATTTAGTGTATCTGTGTTTATAGAAAATTGCATCCGTGTTGAAGAAACAATGACCATTTTCAGATATAAAAGCAATACTGGCCACAGCCTTGAAGCTGACTCCTACTCACAGCAGCTTCCATGCAAAAGCCTTTTGGTTAGAGCAACACACCTCACACTGTGCCACCAGAGCTCCTTAAAAACACTAATCTCATCTCACTGCCATCAATTCTGAACCAACTCATAGCTGACCTTCCAGCAGATTTTCAGAGACTATAAGTTACAGGGGAGAAGATTGCCCATCCTTCTCCTGAGGAGCAGATGGTGGGTTCAAATCATTCACCTTTGGTTTGGCAGCTCAAATCCCTATGCATTAGGCCACCAGCATATGTTGTTATTGTTAGGTGTCATCAAGTCCCTTACGGCTGCGTGAGCCTCTGATCTGAACCTCACCCTCTCCTGTGCCATCCTCACCATCTCTGACAGTCTCACACCCGTTGTTACAGTTACTATGTCAGTTCGTCTTGTTGGAGGACGTCCTCTCTTTCTCTGACCCTCCAGAGTGTAGTAGATGTTCATTAAGCACCTACTTTGCTGAGCATATACATATGTTGTGTCACTTAATCCTCACAGAAGTCCTTAAGGTGGGTGCTGTTTTTAAGTTTAGTTTGTATGGATGAAAAGACATTGTGTAACTTGGCCATGGTCTTAAAACTCTTACCCAGATTTCAAACATATGTATTCAGACTTGAGAACTGTTCTCTGACACCCTGGGTTACACTGCCTCTGAGAGGGAGGAAGTGATACACATACGTATAAACATTTAGGACTTGCCTGACAGAAACTGCCCAGTGACTGTCCTTGTCTGTTTCCTAACTCACCTTTACTTTCTTTGAGTACCTTATTGACCCCTATCCCTCCTTGTGTGCTCCCTCCATACCCCCTGCACGGTTAAATACCAAAACCACTTAGAATTCCCTTCCTTTCTGCTTTCTACCACCCGTACTGAGAGGCCCCTGGCAGAAGGGCGTGCACTACACCAGCCAGCTTGATCAGTTGATTGACAAGTGTAGGCTAAGCCAATTTAATGTCTTACTATTTAAGCAGTGGATGCCAAATATTTAATTATCTTCTTGATTCATAGCAAGTTGCTTTAAAAAAAACAAATGCAATGCCCAATATTTCTTTTAGCTCCACAGTTGGTTATCAATTGTTTTCTTGGAAGATAAACTTTTTATAAGGCTGAGCAAACTGGATAGCTCTCTTAGGGAGGTTTTCCGTTGTAAGTCCGTGCCTGTTTTGTACCGATTATGCTTAATGAGATTGTTGTGGTTGCTGTGTGCTGTTGAGTCACCTACATAGCAACCCTGTGAATAGTGGCTCTGAACCTTACCCTGTCCTGAGCCAACCTCACCACCTCTAACACACCTGACCCCATTACCACTGTCACTGTATCAGTCCATCTCATCAAGGGTTATCCTCTCCTACACTGACCCTCCATCCTTCTAAGCATGTTGTCCTTCTCCAAAGACTAGCCACTCTTGACAGTATACCCAAAAAGTATGTGAGACAGAGCTTCAAAATCCTTTTCTCCAAGGAACAATGTGGTTTCACCCTCTCCAGGTAGACCTGCTTGTTCTCTTGACAATCCATGGCATGTTTAGTACTCTTCTCCAGCCCCACAACTCGAAGGCATCAATTCTTCTTTTGTCATCCCTAGACATTGTCTAACTCTTAGGTATACAGCAGGCAATTGAGAAGACCATGGATTGTATCAGGTGCACCTTAGTCTGACTGACACTGTTCCTCCCTAACACTGTGGAGAGGTCTTTGACAGCAGATTTTTCCCAATGCAACTAGTTTTTTTATTTACTGAATGCTAGTGTCAAAAGTGTTGATTGTGGATCCAGCAATATTCGTTAGTAGCCTCAAACATTGCTCCATCTATCTTGGTGCTGCTATTGGCCTAGTGGTGAGGTTCTTTGTTTTATTAACATCAAAATGCAGCTTATATTGAAGATTACAGTCCTTGATCTTCTAAGTCCTGCTCAGTTTCAGTAAACAGGTGTCATCTACATAATGCAGGTTGTTGATGAGTCTTCTTCCAATCCTTATGCCTCATTCTCTTCTAGAGAAAAAATCTGGCTTCTAGAATGATCTGTTCAGCATATAGATTTTTTTAAAGTACTGAGAAAGGCTATATCTCTTACACACTCTTTTCTTGATTTTTGAGCCATACAGTGTTCCCTTCGTCTGTTGAGACTATAGCTTCTTGTTCTAGGTAAAAGTTTCGCATGAGCACAATTAAGTGTTCTGGGATTCCCATTTGTCTCACTGATAGCCACAATTTGTTGTGATCCTCACAATCAAATACCTTTACATAATTGATAAAACACAAATAGATATCCTTCTGTACTCTCTGTCTTCAGCCAAGATCTTTCTGACCTCAGCAGTGACAATCTCTAGTGTCACAGCCTCTATTAAGCCCAGTTTGTATTTCTGGCAATTCTCTGTTGATGTACTGTTCTGATAGCTTTTAGATAATTTCAGCAAGAGTTTGCTTGCATGTGATACTGTTCGGTAATTTCCATAATCTATTGAATTCCATTTTGGGGGAATGGGTATAGATATGAATGACATTATGGTTCTATATTTCTGCACTTGGATGTTTTTCTGATTGTCCAGTCCCTTAGTTTTGTTTTTAGTCTCTTGCTTTGATAGCTTATAGGCACACCTCTTCATTGTCTCACTTAATATTGGTTACAGAGGAGCAACCTCATTCCTTAGATCAGCAATATTCCAATTATTAGTGTCTCGTCTGTGCTTGTTTGAATTGTACAAATGCATTTTGTTTTAAATAGTGAGGCCCATGAGTGCCTGGCATATAACAGGTACTCAAGAAATGCCTGTTACCCCTTGA